ATCAGTAGATAAAATTCAACCCTTGAAGGAGGCTTAAGTTGCAAATTAATGATAATGGTTGTGTTTTATGGTAGTAGATTATGGATCCATGTTAGTAAATGATGTAATCTTGGAGCCTGAGCTTTTGTTTTAATGATAACAAATATTATTAGACTTTATCTAGTTTCTCATATTTGTTATTATTGCATATCTTTTCTATGTGGACTAACAATATACACCATGCACCGCTAAAAGGATAAGGGCTCAAAATTTGGTAGCATAGGATTGATTTTTATGAAAGTATATATTTTTACCTTTCTTGAGTCAATGCATTATAAAAGATGTATGTTAGCTTAGCAACTATGCACATACACAAGGGGAATGAAATTAAATATTTTAATTTTTTTTAAGATCATACTGGATGATCTAGATCGTACTGTAAGATATGTATAATAACAAAATAATTAAAATATTTATGATCTAGATCGTACTGTAAGATTTGTATAATAACAAAATAATTAAAATATTTAATTAATTGAGAAATGAACTAGAAAAAATATAACTAATTGTGTTGTACGTCCACTTAATCGTACAAAACAATCATACATTTTAAGAAACCCAACCATTAATTAAATTATGCAGTAATTTAAATTTTAAAATTTAATATATTAGTACTATATTAACATGATTATACCATACGAAGCTTAAAGTATTGTCTAATTAAATCCCTATGATTAATTAATCAAATTGTATTAATTAAGGTTTAGATTGTACTATACAAACTTCATTATACTTGATGATCAACAGAGATGATATTTGTTATCCTAGGGTTCATCTAGTATGAATCATGATTCAATTGAACTAACTGTACTGTATAACTATTCATTCATACAGTACGATCAATAGAGATTATACTACTATTCATCATACAATATTAATAGGTTAGAATTAAATTGGATGTATTGTATTAACTAGTAATCATACAGTACTAATAAGTCAAAATTAAACTAATCATACTATATAATCTTCGAATTGCATTGTACGAATAGAGATGGCTGAATTGAATAATTAGAGTTTTTAAGCATTGTATTTTAACTTTCATAATAGACTTTGAGAGAGTCTTTTGGCAGTCATTAGGTCATGTCTTCTTTTATAAAGCATTGAAGAGAGAGCCATGAGCTTTGGGAGAGAAGGAGAAGTTCCTTATGGGTTTAATAGAGTATGAGAGCGAGTTTCACACAATTGCTCTGGTGAACTTGCACCTGAGTCCTTCTTGTGTTAAGGGATGTCTTAAGGGAAGCTTTAGGATTTAGCTACTCTTATGTATTGGGTTATTGAAAGGGATTTGGCTACTTTATCACACAGAATGGTGAGAGGGATTTGACTACTCCACGGCACCATTGGTGAAAGAGATACAACTACTCCACTGCACTAGGTTGGTGAAAGAAATTCAACAACTCCATCACATCGGGCTGGTGAAAAGGATTTAATTACCCCGCCACACCATTGGTGAAATAAATTTGGCTACTCCATCGCATGTTGGTGAAAGGGATTCAGCTGCTCCACCGCACTGAGTTGGTGGAAGAAATTTTGTAAGGGCTTCTCTATCTTTCTCTAAGAAAAAAGGAGATACACTAAATGTTTAGTGCAATGCTCGGAGAGGAGGACTCCGGATAGTGAACATAGGATAATTTTGATCGAACCACTAACTTTATGGAGTGCTCGCTCATATTTTTATATCGCACTTTAATTTCTTGCAGTTTTACTTTGTTGTATTTAATTTCTTGCAAATCCATGTTGAAAACTCTGAGATTATTTTGGATTTGATTATTGTTAAACATTTAAAAACAAATATACAAAATAAAAAATAAAAAAATGAAAAAAATAAGAAAAATATTTTCAAACTTATTCTTTTATAAAATAAAAAAACTAACATTTGATTTTTTTTCTACAATTAGCTTATACATTACAAGATCTTATTATGAACCTAAGTTTTGAGTTTGGCTGTAATTTCAAAAAAAGATTTTTGAAAAAGAAAATTTTTAAAACACTAGTTCACCCCCCTCTTGGCGTGTCATTGTAGATAAAGTGGTCTAACAACCACAAATTGGACTTTTAGTGGAGAATTAAGGATGTATATTTTATATGCAAACCATTATTCTAGATACGCCATCCATCCAAGCAATAGTAAGATGTATCTTAACTTGAAGCCATTGTTCTAGTCACTTGGATTAAAGTAGGATGAGGCGAAACTTATTTATAAGTTTGAGACATGCCAAATGGCAAAGGTTAAGCATCAGAGGCTAAGTTATTTATTGTAGCCTTTGTCTATTCCTAAGTGAAAATAGGAAGAAATTACTATAGATTTTGTTATGGATTTCTTAGGTCTAGGCAAGGTTTTAATGTTGTAGGGGTTATTATAGACCAGTTGATCAAGTTAGTTCATTTTTTGCCTATGAGATAAACTGATTCTATGGACTGGCTTAGTTGTATGTGAAGAAAATTGTCAAACTATATGGAATACCTAAGGTCATTGTTTTTTACTTAGATAATATATTTACCTCCAAATATGGAAGGAAATTCAAGAAGATTTGAAGATAGAGTTAAGTGTTAGTACGGTTTTTCATCCTTAGATGGACATTCTAAGAGGGTAAGAGGGTCATTCAAATGTTATAAGATAAGTTAAGATCATGTGTGCTAGATTTTGGAGAAAGCTGAGATGATCATGCATTGATTGAGTTTGCTTATAATAATATTTTCCAACAAGCATTGGCTTTGAATGGAAAAAGGTACAAAACTCCTTTGGCTTAGATAGAAGCGGGAGAAAGAAGGTAAATGGAATTTGAGCTGGTAGATAGTGTTATAGAGAATATGAGGTTAATCAAGAGAAGCTTAGAAGAAATAAAAGAAGTATTATGATCTAAAATATAGATCTGTGAAATTTTAAGTTGGTGATTTTATTTTTCTAGTGGTCATTCTAATGAAAGGAGTAAGTAGATTTGGAAAGGACAGTAAGTTAAGTCCAAAATACATCGACCTTTTTATAGTTATTGAAAGATTTGGAAAGTCTGCATATAAATTGCCATTGCCCAATCATATGATAAACATTCATATTGTATTCCATGTATCTTTATTAAGTAAGTGTGTTTTATTATTTGGAATAGTGGATCTCTAAAGGTTAAATTGAAGTTTAGCCTAATCTGACCTATAAGGCGGAACGAGTGTATCTAGCTTATAATGTGAAGCACCCATGGAACAAGTAAATACTTATGGTCAATGTTTAGTGGGAGAATAGATCTGAAAAAGACTCGGAGAAAGAAGAGAAAATGATACGGTTATATGTAGACCTATTATAAGTATTAATTAATATGAATGTCCAGGATGATTTTTTCTATAAAGAGGGGAGAATGTAACACTTGTTGCCACATTAACTGATAAGATTTTGTATTAACACTTACAAAAATATATGACTTAATTTTTGAAATATTTAATATAATATAACATGTGAAATTATTTATAGCTAATTATTGTTTAAATATATCTCTTTCTTGCTTGCTAGATTGCTTTGATGTCTCTCATTCACATATCAATTATATTAAGAATAAAATAAATTCTTTCTAAACAAATCATCTTTATGTAATTTAATTCTACTGCTTTGTTGCCTGTTAAGTCGAATAATGGTTTTAGTCCTGTTGATGAGGTTGATGAGGCTGTTGTTGATGTGTCCTCTGTTAAACTTTGTGAAGCTGATGTTGTTGGGGTTTTATCTTCTTTAGTGTTTCCTCGGGCTTATAGTAGTGATGATGGTAATCATGGTTGTGCTTTAAATTCTGCTCCCTTGGTTTCGGTGGTGGCTGTCCCGGCCGTTTTGGCTGGTTATTCTAAGACTCTTGAGGTGGTGGTTGACCCGATTGGGTCTGGTAATGATTGTGGTAATTTGGGTGGGGTTGGGTGTGCGGGATCTGCTGTTTCAAAGGCTTGTACACCCTCCATTTTCAACCCCTGTGAATGCCGGTTTAGTTTCTAGTTCGTTTGTGGATGTGCTAGTTAATCTAATTGACCCTCCAGCCTTGGTTTATCATGTGGGGGATAATTATGGGTTGGATCTTCGAGTGCATCATGATTGGCTTCATGGGGCTGATTCTGATTCAGGTTCCTCTTTTGAGACTGTTGGGGATGAGGATCCAGGGAATTCTTTTGCTCTGCTGCGGAACACTCCGATTGTTTCTGTTGCTTCTCGTGGAAGGGCTCGTGGCAGGGGCCGACGTGGAAGATGATTAGTTAAGGTTGATAGTCCCTGCTACTTTATGTTGGTTCTTTTGGTTTTCTCCTAATTTTATTGTTTATTGGCCGGGCTATGATGTGGCTGGGGCTCGTTTCTCAGTTGGCATGTTTCATGGCAACCTTTGGTGGAGATCCTTTGCTCGGTTGGGTTGGCTGCTTCGCGTTATTTCTTCACCAAGTTGGACGGTTTGAGCTTAGCTTTTGGGAAGCTGGTAGTCTCAGCCGAATACTGAGCCATCGGGATTGAATTTCCTATGTATTCTGTTTTGCTTCCTAGGGGTTTTTTATTTCTTTGCTCATGTACTCTTTTCTGGTATTAATATATGGTGTTTTTTAAAAAAATCATCTTTATGTAATTTTTCAATAAGATCCTGTTGTCAAATTCTGACTGCCTTTCAATGTTAGTCCACATGACTTCCTCATTAGTTCTTTATGTTGGAGGATTTTGTCAACATTAACATGCCAATAAAGACGATCCTCTTTTTGCATTGAGATAATTATGACTTTTTTTTCTTTTATCCTTAAGTTTTTTTGGGAAATAAGAGAAATAGCATGTAATAAAGAAGTGATTTTTTTTTATTGGGACTTTGATTATTAATTAAAAAATCTTGAATTTAAAATTTAGATATTTAATATATGTGAATTTATTTTAATGGCCAAAATATACTTAAAAAATAAAATAAAATGAAAAGAAAACTTCAAACGTTTAATCTAGAAATAGGTGAACTGTGTGTTTGCGTGTCTATGGGTTGCTTGTTCGTTCCCCAATATTTCTGATCTCCGTTTCCATCGCTCTGGCCGCGCGCGCGTAAAAGGCCGATCGAGCAAAGATTTTTTGTGAGGTGAGCCTTGAAATTTTATTGATCTAAATCAAGCAAAATTGGGGAGTTTTAGTTGATTCGGCCGGTGCTTTAACGAAGAGGGAATAGATGGAAATAGAGATGGATCCGAGAGTGAAGCTACTGCCCTTCAAAGTCAAGGCAATGTCGAGGGAGTCCCCGGCCGCGAAGGGTGCAAACGTCCTTGACCCCGATTTACGCACGCATTGGTCCACTGGAACCAACACCAAGGAGTGGATCCTCCTGGAGCTTGAAGTAAGCTCTTCTTCATCTTTATTGCGTTTTTATCTTCTTCTCAATGACGCGTTGCAGATTTAAAAAGCTGCAGTTTCGCCGAGCTTTTGTATAAAGCGATAATTGGAAGGGCTAGAATTCGCTTTCTCTGCTCAGTGGACCGAGCTGAAATGAGTAATAACGATTACATTGAAAGTCATATTCTTATTTGTGAATTCCCTTGAGGCTTGGATCCTTCTAAGATGAAGATATTGATGATTAGCATTAATTTGAACGATCAGAGTGATAGAGAAGTCTAACAAGAAGGGAAATTAGGGTTATGAAGGAATAAGAGATTCTCCCTGTTAATCAGGAAATAGATTTCTGAATGCAGCTTTCCTCTTTAGGTTTACGGTATTTATTTTGTATAGTTTTTTCTTTATTTCTTTCTCTTTTTCTTTCTTCTTGATGTGTTCTTTGATGGATTTTACAAATAAGGTTTTGGGTTGCCTATAGATAAATTTGGATTCAACAATTGTGGAACTTAATCTTTTTGTATCCCATCCCACCTCATTCTTACCAAGGCTCTTTTTATAGAATATTACTTGGATTAAAGCCACAAATAGCTTAATTTACTTCTACTGTCTTCACTCCTTCCTCTTTCTCCTCCACTTCCTCCTCTCTTTCTCTCTTTATTTATCCATCTCTGGTGAATCACTTCTTTTTTTTCTAACACCAACCTCAGGCATACTTTGTCTTTCCGATTGTAGGAAATGCTGCCATGCTTTATGACAGTTATGGAAATTTGGGAATTTTTGGAGACTGTTAATTGTTTTAACTTTACCCTTGCAATGAGCTATAAGTAACACATCACAATTGGGACACATTTGGGTAGAATATGAAGTGGTTGTAATACAAGGTACCGTTAGGGTACTGACTTTATTCTATTAGTGCAAGAATTTCACGCTACTGTGGTTCCACTGCTTGAGCTAAGGGTCTGCAACTAGCTTATTGATTTTTTTTAAAACTCATTCCAATAGAAATAAATGAGATTTTTCTTTGTTTAATTAGAACTCCCATAAAGCTACATTGCTGCTTGTCTCCCTGACCCATTAAATTTCTCTACTTGAAATGATCTCTTCATCTTTTATCTTTTACAAAATTTTAATTATCAAACTGTTCTGTTGCTCCTTTTACTTGCAGGAATCTTGCCTCTTGTCAAATGTACGGATCTACAATAAATCAGTTCTTGAATGGGAAATAACAGTTGGGTTGCGGTACAAGGTGAGTGAAGCAGTCTGTTATTTATATATGCCCCTTGAACCACTTTTTCATTTATTTTGCACTTATTTATAATCTCTTCTGCTATGTTGAAAATGTCCCATGTATAACAATGGATAATAACATTTCTTTAAAATTTTGCTATAAAAAGAGCGTGATTCCTCAATGCTTTGTTTCATGTAAAATGAGTTTGAATGTTGGCACAGAATTTCTTAACCCAAACATGGAGACCTGCTTCTTAAAATTGTATAAAGTTATTGTGCGCTACTAGGTGCCCTTTATATCATATCAATAATGCATGTATAAGGTTCCAACCATGCTAAGAATGGTGTTTATGGGGCCTTGGATATGTGCAAAGAAACAAACTTACAATTTACATAAACTATATATACAACTGTGTTCATGACGTTGGCGGGGCACATGGGCTCCAGGTGCTTAGGCAAGTGAGAGAGGAGTTGCTTGCGCTAACTTTAAATGTTCTAGTAGAAGAGGAGTTGTGAACTTGCTATCGTCAATGAATCTCACCTCTAAAACTCCTCGAAGACTGCTAGCCAGTAGGAATCAAACCCAAGGATGATATCGGGAAGTCAATTTGTTTGTCTTCAATGAAGCGATGACCAACTTAAGTGTTTTGATTAGCAGGCGGCCTCAATGAGCTAGAGCATGGCAAAGAAACAATCAATCACAGTGATTGGGTGTCTATGGAGGTTGAAGATGATGAATGCAGGGATAAGGCAGTCTTTTAGACGAATTAAGCTCAAAAGCTGGTGAGGGTGCAGTTGTGGAGAGCAATTCTTGAGCTTGCATTTGGGAATAGTTCTCATAAGGATTATGGAATTGGGAATGACATGCAAAATTGCACTTTGGTGAGGTGTGATCATGTGGCATAAGGAGGAAGATAATGTATGGAATTGGTGCTCATTGAGGGCACAGGTCATTATCCCCTGAGAAGGTGTATGCATTGACTTTAAAGTAACACAACTAATAGAAGCTAGGGCTATTGTGAGAGTTTGCATAGGTGATAGCGGCATCATGTGGATGGAGGGAGATTAGCATTGCCCGTGTGTGTAAGAAGAGGGATTTTAATAGGGCTTGTTCTGTGTGTGGTGATAATGCTAGAAGCTAGAATGAGCGCTAAAACGAGTGGTTTTTGTTGTGTTGCTTCTTTCTTCTAAAAGTGAGATGTGGATGCTAGCTTTGTGTAGTTAGAGGTGTCGAAATGCAATGCTTGAGGAAGATATGGCTGTTGACCCATTCACTAAAAATGCACGAAAACAACGAAATCAATAACTCAAGTGACGGTCGGCAGGCGTGACCCATCAATGAAATTGTCAAATGACCTCCAATCTCCAAATGGACCGCGCTGTTACAATCAAAACATTGAATTTATCTAAGAAAAACTATCTCACAATCGAATCTAGTGAGAACGATCAAAATTGGAGACCGACACCAAAAAATTATGTGTGATGCTACTTAAACTACGTTCGATCGCAAAACGGACTTTGCCGTTTCATTTGGAATGTCTTCATACAAATAAATAACTGTAATATCACTCAACAACATTCACATGGGAAGATTGGCATGAATTTCGAGGCGACGGCGAATGCGAATTGAGGCACGAAGAATTCTCATTTTTATTTTTATTATTTCTATTATTATTATTATTATTATTATTATTATTATTATTATTATTAAGTAATAAAATTAAAATAAAAGAGGTACATCACGTACCTGTTTGGCTCCAACACCGACGCCATCCACAACCTGCTCAAATCCCGCTCTTGCTTAATATGATAACGCTCGACCTCGTTGTTGAAAGGGAAATCAAACGAGACATTGAGTTCTTCCATGCTTAGTGGATAATCACACCTGAAAACATAGCAATTTTTTTACATATACATATATTCAACTATATTTACTTTCAAATTCATTTTTTTTCCTTTACATATGCATTTATATTCATACTATCATGCTATTTAATACACATTTTTTCTATTATATTCATTTAAATGCCAAAAGTTCATCATCACATAACTAACATCGTATTACACATAATAACATCAAAATATATGTAAAACAGTTATATAAACATTACCTTTTGAATTTAAATAGAAATACAACAATAAAATTACTATATACAGTAAAATATTCACTTTTATTTGTTTTGCGGTTGTTCAATTCCTTTCCAAATATTCAATTCTCAATACTAGACTTCCAATGCTTGTCTCTAACAATTATGAAATCTTCCAAAATTTCATCATTTAGCACTTGATAACTTTGTAATTCCTAAACAATTCCAAAATAAATCATTAAATTGATTTGACTAACATCTTTAAGGATAATTTCGAATACATCTTTTATTAGAGCATTAAATGGCTCTAATTCATCCCAAAATTTCTTTTAAATCAAAATAATTTACCTCACCAAAACTTCTCTTTCTTTCTTGAAATTTCTCCTTCCTCCACTGTCGAACAAAAATTTCTATCACTTGGATTCTTTCAAAATAAAAATCAAATTTTTTTTCTTATTATTACATCAATTAGAGAAACGAGAAATGAAACTATATAACATCAAACTAAATCACTTAATGTTCCGTAAGAAGAATTCCAAACCCTAAATTCTTCTCTCTTTTCCATATTTTCTTCCCTTACCTTTAATTGAACATTCATCCTTGCTTAGATTAGAAATCACGTAATGATTTGCACAGAAATAATAAAAAAAATCGACGAACTTACCTTCATCTTTTTTTTCTTCCTCCTCTCTACTCCTTTTCTCTCGGTTTGTTTCTTTAAGGATAACAACATAAAAGAAACGAGTGAAACGAAGATATGACTCATGTGGAGTCATTTGATTTCATTCCCGAACTCAAATCTTCGCTCGGAATAAAAAATCAGCCCTTCCAGCTTCGCCTACGCTTGGGTGCGATTCGCCTGGGTTGCGGCTCTGTTCGGTTCCCCCTCCTATTTCACCCACTTGTTAATAAATATCCAACTCAGATGAGACGGATAGGTTCGGTTCTTAGAACAACCTACCTCACCCTATTCCACTCAAGATCCCATATAAAGTTCACACTTTTCACTCTAGTCCACCTAAAAATTCCCCTCACATAATTCCTCCATTACAACATCCACCCAAACTTCTCCAACAAAGAGCCATCCCTCTCTACATATATATATATAAAGAAAGAAGAAAAAAAAAATAAGATAAGAATAAATCAATCAATAAAAAGAAGCGAGGAAGAAAGGACAAAAAAAGAGGGGAGAGAAAAAAAGAAAAACAAAATTGTTGTGCATTCACATTGTCGTCGTCGCCCTGACACATCGCCGTTGATCACCTCGCGAAGGTATAACTGTTCTCTCAAACTTAAAAAATCTCCAAATCTTGCTTTCAATGCTCGTGATGCGCCTGGAGACCTATACATGTTTTTCTTAGCATGGTGGGAAGACACTTGGTGCGACGCTTGTGGCAAGGCGGGTAGGCTCTGTTACGCTTTTCGTAGCGTGGTGGGAACACTCCTAAGTGCTCGTGCACTTGCTTCTATGGTTATGGGGAAAATTATAAATTCTTCACACATGTACCTCGAAGACCAATACACACTTTTCATAGCGTGGTGGGATAAAAAACTAAGCCACAGTGTTGCTTGACACTTACCATACATGCTTTTCGTAGCATGGTGGGAAGGACCAGCTTTTGCAAATTCTCCTAAACAGGGGAGATGTCAGGAAGCTGCTGAATCTTTTAACAAACAGAGGATCTGACTTAAACAAAACGCATTAAACAAAACTTAAGATAATAAATAGGGAACCAAACTCTAAACTAATAAATGTATTATGAAATTGAAAATACAAATGATAAATAACGGTTTAAAGCACTTAAAACGAACATAAATGAACAAGCACGAAACTTGTGATGGACGAAATTCCAAACACTGCTTGCGAGCAAGCAAAGATCAAATGAAAAATGTCATGACCTAATCACAAGCAATAACTTTAAATTTATAATGGATATTAAGGAATTATCATGTTGAATGAAACTTAAGCATCAATAAGCAAATGCATTGTATAAATCGCAAGCTACTTTCAAGGACAGTGAAGGGTTTGTGATTTTCAACATGATTTTCCCTGAAGCAATAAAGTTGAAGGGAATGATTAATATGATTGCAAGCAAGCATGTAAAGTTCTTGACACATATGATAATAGTCGATGTATAACATCCACCTCAATCATGCAAGCAAATACATCTGTCTCTACAAGCAGAGGGCTTTGACATGTAGTGAACATAATGATTTGATGCATTCGATCTTTTCAAAACTAATGAAGTATGTGTGCAGTCAATATCATTCAACTCCAAGTAAGCATGCCTACCCATTGGCAAACAATAAAATTCCTTACAAACGTACAAAGTGCAGCATGCAACAAAAGTAAGCACCTATGAGAAATGAGAGCTGATATGTAATAAATGCGAGAACTCCTTCACACGAACACGACATGCTATCTACAAACAAAGGCGATGAACTTTTAGTGAATGCGAACATCAACATATATTATGCATACAACAACTTGCCTATTAGCAGTGCTAGTAGAATAACAGGTGATGCAACAACTTGCTTACAAGAAATTGTAAGAAACTCACTATACACAACGGTCTGTTTACAAGCAACTATATGAAACATGTGAGTGCTCATGAGTGATAATGAAAAACATACAATAAACATAACAACATGCCAATCAGCTTATTTTGGGAAATCAAAGAAGAATGCAGCTCACCTAGCAGTCTACATTAACATACAGATGAACGCATCAACTTGCCTGCAAATAGTGTTCATAAAATCAGCATTGCACAATTGCCCACATATGGATGATAATAAGTAGCATGCAACCAATGTGACGGGTCTCTTGCAAGCATGAACAAGAATGTTGCAATGAGCATGATATACTGTTTAATGCAAAAAGCAACAAGTCTCTGATAAATATAAGCGACCCACAGCACAGTGCTACGCCGCATCTACAAGCAGTTGCAGGAAAGCTGTAATGAAAAGTGTGGATCATTGGAAAGCAAAGTCGAGAAAACTTATGGTGCCAAGTTATCATGCCAGATATATCAGCTTAGTTGCAAACGATTGGTGGAAGGCCCCTAATGTGTCATACAACATATTTGTAGGAAGAAGTACATCCCTACTTGCTGAATACTGGAGAAAATAATAGATCGTAGAAGATGAAATGAGCTAAACAACACCACCGGATTAGCAACACTCATACAAGTGGGCATAAGATGTTTATAGGCTATTAAATGAAAATTTGTGCATTTTTTAAATGACCATCACATGCATGATCAACCGTATTTGAATGTCTCAAATACGACCCCCATGCATCCTACAGTTACTTCGAAAGACATGCAAATCCTTCACATATTTTATAAAAACATTGAATTGCCATGCGAATGTATTATGCATGCAAACAAGCAATACATATATATATATATTTTTCTTTTTTTCAAAACAAGCAATACATATATATATTTTTTTCTTTTTTTCAAAACAAGCAATACATAGATGCATTGTACATACATATCACACAAATACATAATACTTCATGTTAATGCAGTAGGCTACCACACTGTATATCAACGCATCATGCAAGCACAATTGAGTACTACGCAAATGCATATGCCAACATACATGTATACATATAATTAAATACTCGCATGAACTCCGACGAGCATGATGTATTCACACACGTAACGTTTGAGGATGTTGCGCGGGTTAAGAAATAAACCTAAGTTCAAGTCCGATCCTTGTATGCAAATTGATAGGAGTCGACACTGCTCGAACCATCAAAACAAAAATACGGATGTAGCGCTGACCGGGATATTTGTTTTATGCGTTCATATTAGGCCTTCAAGTCTCAAAATCCTACATCCATTGATAAAATTAATATTTAAAATCTGATTTCAATCTTCTAAATAACTTAAAACAAAATTCATCCGTCATCCATAATAGTTTGCTAAGATGGACAAATCTGAAAATTACTTTAGCTCATAAAGAGAAAATGTCTAATCAAGAATAAAACTAGGATTTTTTTTCAAATTGTCTCTTGCTAGTAAGAACATGGCACACATCCTCTAATCGGTGGTTTTGCCGCCAAAAACTGTTATGACCGGGACCCTCTGATTGGATGGGTTTTAACGCTAAATGACACCATTAAATTACGGTTATAATTAGAGGCCATTTGTTTATTAACGACACTAAATCTTTGAGTAATGAATCAATATAATATGATCGATAGGGCACAAATCTCTTTGTTAGCTAAGGTGGATTCAATATGTCTCCTTAGGCAACCATTCACTTCAGGTCTATAAGGTACCCTTGGATGACATAACCCAAGACTGCCGACAAGGATCCTCATGTCAGGTTGGGTCGACTATCTCCTCTAACTAAGTAGACTAGGGACCGTGATGACCTAGACCGACGAAACCATGAGATTTTGATCTGGTTCATCATCATACCCCCACCATTCACTTTAAGTGCACGATGATATAAATTTTAGTTTTCAAATTTCCAGTTCTACTGCTACTATACGCTGGATACTATGTATCTATATGACAACTAGTCTTAATAAAAAATTCTCTCGTTATCGGGAGGGGTAATTAACTATAAGGGCTTGTTCCTATAAGAAACATGAACTCATATCATGAAGTCCTCGCTAAATGAGGGCGAAATCTCTGGGTAGTGTCTTATTTAAAACCCAATCTGCCTTCAAAAAATTTGCCTAAGAACTTAAACGTTAAAACTTTCATGGATGACCCGAAAAAGAAAGGGGTCGTGGAGAGGCCAGGATGTGAATTTTCGGATCCCACAATAGCATTTCTAGGACCACAAGAGACAAGGATAAATCAAGAAGTTATGTTTGTAGGCTAATTTTCAATAGAGCACTGCGTGACCCTTCAATCACACACGAGGTCGGGCACACGAAGCACATGCCCTTTCGGGTATAGCTAGAATGTTGGCCATGAGGAGAGAATATTTTTTTTTTTTTTGTATTTTTTATTATGTTGTATGACCCCTATATGAAGTCGCCAAGTATAGTCTACTGCATAGGGCGGTGGTAGGGCATGTCATTTCCCTTGGTTTGTTAAATAATGGGTGGTAAAATAGCCTTCTTATAGTAAATAATTTTCTTTTTAATGAATTAGATTGAGACTTTTATTCACTTAGGTGGACTGGAGCTTGGCCTAGATCCAAAAGAGCAGGGTTGGAACCTTGATGTGGATGTTTAAGTTTGGTTGGGTCGAATGAGGTGGCTTAGGGGGGTCTAAATGGGTTTTTGGGTCCAACCTGAAATTGACCTTCCTTGAAACCCCCCTAACCTAAACCCGATCTGATTTGTAAAACAAGTTAGATTCCCATATAGAACCCGACCCGGCATGTCGACCCGTAAAGCAGCGTGGTACGCATGGGCGCAGGCATGAGCGCGTGCAAGCAAAGGGGGAGAGAGTGCATGGTAGCACAGGCATGTGTACGTGTGGGCAAGTTTGGGGGCAGGCGTGATCGCCAGGGCGCGGGCGGGGGAGTCCAGGACCATTACGGCCAAGGGGGTGACCCAGGTTAGGTTTGGGTTGATTTCGGGTTTTGAGGTTTACTTGAATATGATCTGAAATTGGAAACATGTCAGAAAAAAGGAACCTGAATCTGTCTTATTTGCAAAACAGGTTAACCCAAACCCGGAATTTTTCGGGTCGGGTCTGGGTCAGGTGAAATGTTGACACCCCTAGTTAGGCTTAATCAGACTGGACTAATTTCCGAATGGTCATGCTGGATATTTTGTGAGATTGAAGTCACACTTAATAATAAATTTACCTAATGCCCATGCAAATACGTAAGTCAGAATGTGTTAATCATTTGAATGTATTGGTTTTGAGTATGAGCAAATATATTGAACTCAAATGGAGTTGTGCTTAGTTGAGATGAATGAGCATGAACTTGAAGGAGTTCAGCCAATCTTCAATAAATTGATGCAAATCCAAGTGGAACTGGTATTCAAGTCCCAGAGATCTCATTGTGAACTTGTGTGGGTTTGATGGGAATTCGAGTAGATGGGGACCATGGGGTTGAAGCTCCTTCGAAATTCAAGTCCCAGAGGTCTCATTGTGAACTTGTGTGGGTTTGACGGGAATTCGAGTAGATGGGGTTGAAGCTCCTTCGAAGGTTAACACTATTGATGGAAGAATGAAATCTTCTCAAGTAATGAAGTGTAATAATTTGGGAAGTTGATAAAATGCCCTAGATCCCAAAAATGGTGAAACAGGAAGAGTAGGATCCATTAACTGCTATTTTAGGAGTACAGCAAACGTAGTGAATTATGAGGTTCAAAACATAAGTCTTGATGGTATCAGGTTGATGAAGATATCTACCTGATTGGATTGGTTGGTTTCACCTGCAGCTATATGATTTGTAGATTGGGATGCATATTGGGACTTCATTTTCTAGCACATGGCTTTGACATCGATTTCACTGTTTGAAAATTTGAACGAAGAGAACTAGTCGAGTCTTCAAAATTGCTATGTTATGTTCTGCTCAAAGATTTCGCTGGTTGATAGCTAGAAGTGCTTTTCCTTTTATTTTGATTCTTGATTTCTGTAGGGCAATTTTTCTGGTAGTGGCAAAATTGCTAAGGCATAGTAGTAGCATGTATGTGCTGTTCTGTAAAAAAAAAAAAAAAAAAATTGTATGTGCTGTTCTGTGTGGATGCACTGATTTGTAGTGTTGGATTACTTTAACAGCAGCTGTGGCAGCATTTCAGAAAACAGAACTTTACTGGCCCTTGGTGCTAGCGATTTTTTCCCTCTATTTTCTTCAAACTTTTTTTTTGAAATATTATTAATTTCATCGCATCTTATAATTATTTGTTTCCATCAAACATTTAATGTATTTCTGATAGATTGCTCTTATTTATTATTTCGTTTTTATAAGCAAGTGTGATACGAGTTTTCTCTTCAGCAGCCTGAAGCTTTTGTGAAGGTTCGCCCACGGTGTGAAGCTCCCAAACGTGATATGAGTTATCCTACAAACTACACACCATGCCGTTACGTCCGTTTATCTTGTTTGCGTGGGAACCCTATAGCAGTATTTTTTATCCAGGTAATTTTCGAGTTTGCTTTTTCATATGCCCTATTGCAACAGTTATTGCAGAGCAACGATCACTCTTACTATATTTCATATTTTCTATTAATTTCCTATGCTCATGAATTATGCCAGAGTTTTAATATTTGAATCCGAGTTTTGTTTCGTTTCTCATTATAATATAATGAACTTGTTTACCATGTCACGGTTATTGAACTCTCAAAATCTGAATAACGATGGTTGTTTACTGTATATTGCTTGAATTCCTAATTGGTCTTCAATGAAACTGATATGTTGGGGGGCCCCAGCTAGGAAGAGAGCTGTTTAGGAAAGTTCTTAATCAAGAGGGAGTTGTTTATGAAAGTTCCTAATTAAGGAAAATTATTTAGGAAGGTTCCTAATCAAGGAGTTGCTTAGGAAAGTTTTCTAATTGTGTTTATGCTATTTAAGAAGTGTTTAATTGTTTATGAAGGTTCCTAAAATTTATTTAATTATTTAGGAAGGTTTCCTAAATCATGTTTAATTGTAGGAATATTTCATAAATTACATTTATGTTGATTAAGAAGGTTCTTTTTATTTAGAAATGTTTCATAAATTATGTTTGTGCTGATTAGGAAGGTTCTAATTGTGTTATTGTATTCTAGGGCTATTTAAGGGGAAGTTTGCTTATGATTTAGGGGATGATATTTGTTGAGTTTATTTTCTTAGTGTTTGTTGTGAGTTCTTAGCGGTGTCTAGGGTTTATTGGAGAGTTAATCTACCTTTCGAATAGTAAAACAATTGTATCTTGCTTTATTATTGAAGGAGAAATAAGAAAATATGCTTTATCTTTATGTTCCTACATTGTTCTTTTTTTTATTTGCTATTTTTAGTTCCAAGACTATCAAATTGGTATTGAAGCGAGGTTTTGGAGAGATGGTAGCAAAGAAGGTGGATATGTTGGAAGGAATAATAAAGCAATTCAAATCCTGCATGAAGGTAAAGTTTTTAACCATGGAAGGAAGGTTTTCATCTATAGAAAGAAGGGTTTCATCCATGGAAGGAAGGTTTTCATCCATGGAGAACTGATTGGGAGGGATGGGGGAGATGACGAGGAAACTCTTGGAGATGCAATAAAAAATTTCACTGTTGTTTCTGATAGCTAACTCTAACTAAGATTTTAATGGGATTCCCTTAACGAATTGAAGGGAAAAGAGATCGGATGTGAGGAGTTGAATGAGGAGAGTTTCTTCCATCAAGAGCCACCTCTTGGGGCTCCGATAATGGACGGATCAGGGTTTTTGGATGAGGGGAAAACAAGGACGGAATTTTTCGATGGAGTTGGTAAGGTGGCTGACCAATATAGGAGGTATTTCGGGTAAGGGGAGTGGGCTATCAGAGAAGGAGGGGGTCAAGAGCCACCTTCTAGGGCTTTAATAAGGGACGAAGTAGAGTTTTCGGAATGAGGATAGTAGGAAAGGAGTTTCGTGGAGAAGGTGGTTGGGTGGCCGACCACTATGTGAGGTTTTTTGGGCAAGAGAAGTGGACGATCGGAGAAGGACGAGGACGGGGACGGGCCGAACCATGGGGATGAGGTCATGTGAGGCAGAGGTAAGAAATGTGGGATTTCCACCTTCGATATACGGGTGAAACATGGAGGGATGATGAAAACTGTTACACTGGAGGAGAAAGATGTTATTAGGGCGGTGGCAATCCTTTGGTGAATCCTAAGTTTACCGCATCCTAGTCTTAATGTGAAAGAAGCAGAATATCTTGTAGCAAGAGCTGCACTTATTCATGTCGGTTCTCAAGAATTTAGTTCGTATGGTGGAAGAATGGATGCAGATCCACATGTTTTACCCATTCCTGGATAGTTCATGACTATTTTATGCAATCCAGAAAAGAGAGCTCTCTTATAGCTTACATTGAGATGATGTCCCAATTGAGTTTGTTATGCATAAGTGCGTCATACATTTTGTTCCCTTTAACAAAAAGCTGTCAATTTGTTCTCAGCATTATGGGTTTATTGTTTAGAATTTACTTATCAAGTGTAAAGATTTGTCAGAACATGAAACCACATGGGAACCTTATGAGCTGATTAGGTGACTGCACTCTTCCTTCCTCCATGAGGACAATATGCATATTTTGGGGAGGGGGTATTGACACGCTTGGGGAATAGGGGATTGAGGGGTGGGGGTCTTGTTCGTTCATATTTTTGCAACTTGTATGTTTTTAATGATTTCAAATATTATTGCTTTGATTATTATTTTTTCTAACATATTTTTGTAGAATTGTTTTGCTCTTGTGTGTACTAACATTTCAGTGAAATCATACTTTGGATTGTTGAAGATTTCAAATCAAGATCAGTTTAGAGTTTATTGTAATTAAATTTTGTATTTTTCATTTTCTTGAGTCTGAGAGTGTGATGTAATTGAGTAATTGAGCGCACACACACCGTGGGAGAATTTAAAATTCACAATTTTTAAACTAATCGTGCTGTACAAATGAACTTCGTGTGGGACGATTTGTTCAGTTATTTTTCTCGACGAGCAGTCAAACGAACAGAAATGAAAATTTTTCTAAGTATGGATCGTACAGTTTGAACCCAGTTCGTATATGCCTTCCAGAGTACGAAATTGACGGGTCCCCTTTTGCTCAAAAATATTTTTCCTAAGTATAGATCATACTGTTTGAATACTTGTGAGGTCCCTTTTCGTCTCGATGTTTCGTCCTGACGAATGTGAAAATTTTCTAATTGTTCGTATCAGACGAATTAGTTTCGTACCGGACGATGATCGTGTATGAATTGATTCGTATCGATTTTCAACAGGTTCGTATGCAATAGTTTTTGAACTATTCGTACGTACGAACTCCGATCGTACTGTACGATTATGTAAGTTCAAAATTAAAAATTTCAATTTTCTGGACAGTTTTTCGTGTCTTTAGTATAAAAGGTCCACTAAAACTTACGTGAAAAGGTATTGTCTTCGTGTTTTTTCAAGGGCATTTGAAAGAGATAGTGTGAGAGAGTATTTGAGAGAGATTTCTTGCAATTAGAGTGTGAATGATTCATAAGGTTACTCAAAGATAAGGTTCTTTTTGTAATTTTGGTTATCACTCTTCCTCTTTTCTTTCTAGATTGCTCGTGAGAAGATTTTTGGAGAAGATCCGGTTCTCTGCTGACACTTGGAGAGTGTGAACAGACGATGGTTCTCTGCTGACACCTGGAGAGTGTGAAAGGACGACGGTTCTCTGCCGACGCTTGGAGAGTGTAAAAAGACCACGGTTCTCTGCCGACGCTTGAATAGACGACGGTTCTCTGCCGACGCTTGAAGAGTGTAAAAAGACCACGATTCTCTGCCGTTGCTTTAAGAGTGTGAAAAGATGATAGTTCTCTGCCGACACTTGGAGAGTGTGAAAGGACGACGATTCTCTGCTACACCGGGGATTGGTGGAAGAGAGGTTTTGTAATTGCTTCACCGCCTTATTGTGGAGGCAAAATGAGAGATACTTTGGTAATAGTGTAATACCTAAAGAGGGAGACTTCAGAGAGTGGATGTAGGTCGTGTTTGACCGAACCACTATAAATCTATATCTTTTAAATTTTTGCATTTATTTACTATAAGTTATTTTTATGTGGTTGAAAAGTTATTTTGAAACTTTAATTAACTTGCTTTGAGAATCAACGACTTTCAAATTTTAAATATAAGAGAAATTTTTTAAATTACCAATTCACCCCCTCTTGGTTAGCATTGGAACATTAGTTTAGGTTTAACAACATAATCAAGATTCAATAAGTGATATCAGAGTTTTGTTTTAAAATCATAAGTTTAGATTACTTTTTAAAAAACGAGAATGACTACTTTTGAAAACCGAAACAAACCACAAGGTTACTCGATCACTAGATCTCCTTTATTTGACAATATCCCTTTTGATTTTTGGAAAACACATATTTCTACATTTTTGCAGTCACTTAATTATCGCATGTGGATCCTAGTTTAAAAAGGGTATACTAGGCGAACTAGATTAGTTGATGGTATTAGAGTTGAAACACCATTTGCTGACTGAATTATAGAAGAACATGACTTAGCACAACTAAATGCAAAATGTTTAAACAGTTTCTTTTGTGCAGTTAAGTCAGAAGATTATATGCGGGTTTTTTCTTATAAAAGTGAAAATGACATATGAGATGGACTTTACATTACTTACGAAGGGACTAAGGAAGTAAATCAATCTAGATTAAACATCTTGTTACATGACTATGATTTTTTTTGCATAAAATCCAATGAATTCTGTACGCCGGCCTAGGAGGGGCCGCTGGACCGGTCCAGCCCGGACCGGTCAACTGTTACTCCAGGCGAAAAAACAGAGGGGGAGCGCGGGTCTGAGCGGAAAGCAGAGGAGAGACACGTGGTTTTGGGTGCGCTTTGGAGGGAAATTTTGAATGTTGGGGGCTGTTTTAGGAAGTTTGTAATTGTCCTTTGTCTTTAATTCCATCAGGCGGGAAGAATATGACAGAAGGAGAGACTTCAGGGAAGGAAGAGAAGATAATTGGCGACGTCAGAGGCCCGACCCATTGGCCCGACCATGGGGGATCTATAACCATCATGGCGGGGCACGAGGGGAAGATGGCTACCGGCGGCCAAGGAGGGAGGATGAGCCCTGATATGGAGAGAGAGGAACTTGGGAAGACCCCATAGCTTGAGACAGAGGAGGCCATGGAGGGAATAGGGCATACGGGGTGGACACGAGGGCCAGAAAGTTGAAAATGCCAGTATTCGACGAGGGAAATGTGGATGAGTGGATCCACAAGGTGGAGAGATATTTTGCAGTGAATGGCTTGATGAAGGAGGAGAGATTGATGGTTGCTAGTATGTGCTTGGAAGGGGCGGCATTTGCCTGGTTCAAGTACATGGATAAGTGGGAACCGGTAAGGACCTGGAGGGAATTCAAGGAGGCTATCAGGGAGAGATTCAAGGGGGGCAGCCCATGGGAGATATCAGAACAGTTCTATGCCCTCACTCAAGAGGGAACAGTGG